GAAGGAAGCTCAACAAACACACAGAACAGCTAAATGCTACAATCAACCAACTTGATCTCAAAGACATATACCAAACACTGCACCCAACAGCAGCCAAGTATACTTTCTTTTCCAATGCACATGGAACATTCTCCAGAATAGACCACATATTAGGCCATAAAGGAAGCCTTAACAAAATCCAAAGCATCGAAATATTACAAAGCATCTTTTCTGACCATAAAGCCATAAAAGTAGAAATCAACAACACAAAAAGCAAGGAAAAAAAATCAAACACATGGAAACTGAACAACACCTTGCTCAAAAACTACTGGGTTATAGAAGAAATTAAGGATGGAACAAAGAAATTCATAGAATCAAATGAGAATGAAAACACATTCTACCAGAACCTTTGGGACACAGCAAAAGCAGTGCTCAGATGTCAGTTTATAGCAATAAATGCACACATCCAAAAAGAAGAAAGGGCAATAATAAAAACATTAACCCTACAACTGAAACAAGTACAAAGAAAGCAGCAAAAGAAGCCCTAAGGTGCCGGAAGGGAAATAATGAGAATTGGAGCAGAATTAAATGAAATAGAGAACAGAAAAACAATTGAAAGAGTTAACAAGACCAAAAGCTGGTTCTTTGAAAAGGTCAACAAAATTGATAAACCACTGGCCAAACTGACAAAACAAAAACAGGAGAGGAAGCAGATAACCCATATAAGAAATGAGATGGATAATATCACAACAGACCCAAATGAAATTAAAAGAATAATAACAGAATACTATGAAAAATTGTACTCTAACAAATATGAAAACCTAGAGGAAATGGGCAAATTTCTAGAAACTCACTACCTACCTAAACTAACACAAACAGAGGTGGAACAACTAAATAAACCCATAACAAAATAAGAGATTGAAAAGGTAATTAAAAAACTCCCAACAAAAAAAACCCTGGCTCAGATGGCTTCACTGGAGAATTCTACCAAACTTTCAGAGAAGAGATAACACCACTACTACTAAAGGCATTTCAGAGCATAGAAAAGGATGGAATACTCCCAAACTCATTCTATGAAGCCAGCATAACCCTAAAACCAAAACCAGCTAAAGACACCCCAAAAAATGAAAACTGCAGACCAATATTCCTTATGAACATTGACACAAAAATCCTCAACAAAATTTTAGCCAATAGAATTCAGCAATGTATCAAAAAAATAATTCATCATGATCAAGTGGGATTTATACCAGGTATGCAGGGATGGTTCAACATTAGAAAAACAATCAATGTAATCCATCACGTAAATAAAACAAAAGACAAGAACCACATGATCTTATCAATCAAAGCAGAAAAGACATTTGACAAAGTCCAACACCCATTCATGATAAAAAGTCTCAA